CCTCAGCACCACATACAAAGATGTTGTGTCCGCCGAAAACTGAAAAATAAATATTAAAAAAATTCTCTCTCCAGAAATAAGAAAAAGCAGTTTAAAAAAAAAAGATGAGTTTGAATAATCTCACCCTCAGTTTCCTCATCTATTTAAAGGATATATCAACTACTACACACACCCATGGTTAAGATTTTATGACACAATAACATTTATACAGCTTTTAGTTATCTGTTGCCTTCATTTTAAACCAGAACTATTTTAATGTCTACTCTTTACATTTTGATAATTTACATTTACTTAACAAACTCTTAGCACTTGCTATGTGCATTAGGCACTGTGTTAAATGCTAAACATAAACTGGTGAACAAAAACTCCTTTTCTGTCTTCCTCTAGTTTACCATAATGGAGGTAGTAGGACATGCATTAATCAAATAATCCAAATGTCAACTGTGCTAAATGCTATAGAAGGGTAAAACAAGAAGACAAATAATAATGGGCTTTTGCCCTGAGCACAAAGCTTTATAAAAACTCTTCCTTAGGTAAATTTTCTCTTGCAGTGTGAATAGGCAGTAAGTAGGCAGACTGGAAGAAAGAAGAGTTTGCCAAGCAGAGAGAATAAAATGTGTGTTTTCTGAATTTCTGTATTCTTATATCCACCCTAACAAACAGTAACCTGGTTGAAGAGACTGGAAGAACAATGTAGCAGACAGAATGTGAAGGAAATGTCAACTACATAGGAATGACTGAAGATGCATAGCTTTGTAGAGCACATTATCCTAAAAGCAATGTTAAATTTTAAAAGTTATATGTATGGTTAGTTTATCTTTTTGTTGTTGTTGCTGATGCTGCTGCTGGAAGAAAATGAAATTGTTTTATTTCACAAGAGTCTGGTGACACTATGGAAACAAATTTGAGGTGAAATGAGTAAATATGAAATCAATCTGGAATCAAAGAAATAAGAACTTAAAATGAGGGAGACTACAGTAGCAAAAAAGAAGTATAATGAGATAAATTCAACTGGATCTGATGACAGACTGGATAGGGTGAAGAATAGTAAAGACAATCTCTAATTTCTGATTTGCATTACTAGGTAGATGCCAGTTGCGTATTAATATAGGAAGTTGGTCAGATTTGGGAAGGAAAGACTGATTATGCATTCAATTTTGGACAGGTTGAATTTGAGATGTTTCTGAGATATTCAATAGAAGAGATCAAATAGGCACTAGAAATGTAGGTTTGGAAAGTTCAGGGACGTTCTGGTCATAAATATGTATTTACAAATTATTTGTGTTTAGGTCATAGTGGTTTGCCCCATCTGAACTTCCCAGCTAGCCAGTCATCAAACATAAGTTAACAACTAGTGACATATTTATAAGACCTCTACTATAATCACCATTAATGAGTACTATTCAAGTTAACTGGTGTGTTTCTGAAATCAAGATTTTTATTAGTTAACTGTTAGAAAATATAATTATTCTCTATCATATATTTAAAGACCACAAAACACATTCCTAAGTCTTATGCGGTGGTGTTATTATCCCAGGAGAATTTAAACACAAAGATGATTTCATCTTATCAATTCACCCACCCCAGCATGCCAAGTTTGTTATTGAAAAAAATAAATTTCTTAATAGCTAATATACATACACTAATAAACATGCTCAGACTGATGGACAAATGACACCAAATCTTTAAATATGTCCCAACTGGACTTCCCAATATCATAAAATGGTACCACCTCTCATTCAGTTTCTCAGGCTCAAAACTTTGGTGTCTTTTTTCTCCCTCACGTTTCTATATCTAATCCATCAACCAATGCTGTTAACTTCAAAATATATAATGAATTCAACTCTCTCCCAACCTCTGTCACTACCATGGTGTACTGAGTGACCATATTACTGTTATACCTCAATGCAATTTTGTGCACTTACTCTTGTATTCAACTATCCATCCTCCATACAATAGAGTAATATTTTGTTAAAATTAAAACCAACAAAGAAACCCCTCATCACTCTCCTATTCAAAGCTTTATAAATGGATTCCTATCAAGTTTTTAACAAAACTCCCAAGAGTAATGTGGCTCTTTGGTATCTCCTTCTTTCCTGCCCCTTTAATCCTTTATTATCACTTTAGAAACATTAATCTTCTTCTAATCCTTGATGAACAAAATTCATTCTTGTCTAAAGGTTTTTGTGTACTGGAATATGGAATTATTCATCTCCCAGGAATTCTTAAGGCTTGGTCCCTCACTTAATCAAGGTCCACGCTGAGATGTCATCTTCCTGCTTGATGTGGGGTAGGACTGAAAGCTTGAACAAACTCTCCTGTGACCTTTCTGTGCTAAAGGGAAAAACCTACCATGTAATGTCTTATCCTTAAGATATTTGAAACAAGTGGACTGTGTCTAACTACGCTACTACTCATGCCCAACTCCTGAACTGAGTTGATCAATCCCTATTAACACCCAGCAGAAAATAAGGCAAATTCTCCCTTGGAGGAAAACCATACCAACCCCAATCCATTAGTTCTTTTATATACAAGACCCTGCATTAATGAAAAACATTATAAGACCTAAAAAGAGGAAGAAAAAGATGTGACCAGGGAAACTGTGATTGGTAATCAAGAGAAAAAAGAATAAGACAACAATCAGACCCACAGATGACTCAAATGTTGGTTTTAGCTCATGAAGATTTAAACTATATAACACTGGGGTGGGGGGAGTCATGTATGGTAGCACATGATTGTAATTCCAGAGACTCAGAAGGCTGAGGCAGGAAGATCCAAGTTTGAGGCCAGCCTCAGTAATTTAGCAAGACTATTAGTAACTTACCAAGATCTTGTCTCAAAATAAAAAGAACTGGGGATGTAATGATTAGCTCAGTGCCCTTTGGTTTAACCCCTAATAACACATCTTCTACACCCAGATACAAAAAGGAAAAGATTGGTGAAAAGACAGGACTAGTGAAAATATTATTACCTAGAAACTCTCGGACTGAAAAACAATATATCTGAAATTAATAATTAATTGGACGTGTTAAACAGAAGAGTGAACATAGTAAAAGAAAGGACTGGTAAATTGAAAGAAAATAGGAAATATCCAAAATGAAGTGCAGGGAGAAAGGAAGAATGAAAAGAATAGAAATTAATAGGCAAGAAACACAAATGGCCTAATGTATTTATTACTGAAGCGTCAGGGAAAAGTAATACAGTAGAATTAACACATGAATTAACACATGAAGAGAGATGGCACTTTCAAAACTGATGGAAGACATCAGCTTGCAGATTTCAAGGTCAGTAAGTAAACTCCAAGCAGGATAAATAGAATGAAAACTATACATAGGCATATTATAGTCAAACTGCTGAAAACAAGATACAAAGAGGATCTAAAAAGCATGGAGAGAAAAAAAAAAGACCCATCACTCACTAAGATTATAAAGATTTTCAGCTGTTTCTCAACAGAAAAGATAAAGACTATGGAATGCCAATTTTAAAAGTACCAAATAAAACTGCCAATTGAGAATCCTATATCTACTGAAATATATATATATATATCCACCTTTCAAAATGAATGTGCAACAAAGATCTCTCAAGAAAACTGAGTTAACTACCCACAGACCTACCCAAAGAGTAATACTAAAAAGTTGTTTTTCAGCATAAAGGAAAAGCAATGAAAATACAAAGTACAAAATGCCAGGGGGCAAGGGGCTGGGGATTCAGCTGGTAGAATGCCTGCCCTTGCATGCACAAGGTCCTGGGTTCTAATCCCCAGCACCACACACACACACACACACACACACACAAAATTGACTGGGGGAAAGGGCACAAAGATTAGAAAATGAATGGGGAAACATGAAAGAACATTACTTGAAACAACAATAACTTTGTAGCATTAATAACTATAAAATATGTAACAACTGTAACACAAAGGACATTGGCAGCAAACAGAATTGAGCTGTTTTTAACTTCTTGTATTATTCTGAAGATTGTAAAAGCATTAATATAACAGACTGTAAAAAGTCAAACATACATATTATAACTTATAGAATAACCACTAAAGGAATAATACAATCAAGTATAACTAAAAAGCTAATAGAAGAGATAAAAATAGTGGTTCTATACTGAGCTAAAAGAAGGTACAGAATGGAGAAAATAAAAAATAGGGGGAAAAAGCATGATAGGCTTTAAACCAACCCTATCAGTATTACACTAAAAGTAAATAGTCTAAACACTATTAAAAGGACAAAGATTCTCAAATTCGATACATGAACAAGACACAAATACAAAATGTTTACATGACACGTACTTTAAAATAAGGATGCAAACAGGATGAAAATAACCACAAATAATAGCTTAAAACTCGTATGGCTATATTAGATCAGGCAAAGTAGACAAAGTATTCATACAGATATGAAGTGACACTTTGTAATTATAAAAGTATCACTTAATCACAAAGATGGAACAATATTAAGCCTTATGCACCAAATAACATAATTTCAAAGTGCATCAAATAATCTCTCCCCTAATCATTACTCTCTATTCTGGCTTTCCTTTTTTATTCACCATATTTTTCACAATCTGACATTTAATTATTTTTTGCTTATTCACCCACCCTCAACATAAGTGCCACAAAGGCAGTTAAATTAGTCTGTGTAGATCACAACTTTATCCTTAATAAAAAAAGAGTCAAATTTTTTTAGTGCCTGGCATATATTAGGCATTTAATAAAATGGTTGTTGAACAAATTAATAAAACTAACATTAGCAACTTATTTTCTTTGTGCTGATTTTCAAAGTTCATATTATACATTAATTTCCTTCAGTTATGCAATTCCCTAACTTAAATAGTATTTAGTAAATTTCTGTGAGCTCAGGTTTTATATCTGGAAAATGTTACTGGGAAATATATTTCCCCTTCATGAAACAAAGGCTCCAAAACTAAAATACCACCAAAACATGCCTATTTCTTTTTAGTACTTAAATATTGATTCACATAAAAATACAATTATATAAGCTTTCATGTTTATTAAACTTCACAGAAATTCAAAAACTGTGTCTGAAAATTGGTTATCTAATTACCAGTTGCTCATTATGGTGACATGAATACTATCTGGTAGAGATATACCTAAATTAAACAAACTCTGAAATTTTCAAGTGGGCAAAAGGAAATCTTACAAATCAAACTTACAAGTTGTAAGAAGATATAGAAAGCAATTTAACCTTTAATATCTGGAATAAGTTTTACAGCCACATTTGTAATTTACATATACAGTGAAGATCACTGAAAAAGCTTCCTGTTGCACTGCAGCAAGAAATTTTATTATAATGTAGATTAAATGGATTTGCTACAGAGTGCAGCAAGGTAACCTCACTGAGGACCTTAAGGTTTTCATAATGGAACTTGTTACAGTGAGTTAAATATTTTCTTAATGTTATACAGTACGTACTTTCAGAATAAACATTATCACTGCAGAGTGTGCTAACAACAGTTAGCAATTAATGTTTTATACACACTTAATTTTATTGTTTTTAAAGGATGTGGCTCTCCAAATGTTAGTACATAAAATGTTGTTTAAACATAATAATAAGATAAGCCTCTAAGATGGAGACTCAAAATTTTGATCATTATTGCACCTATTTTTCTACAGAAAACTGAAAAATTTACATCATAATCCTCCCCAAAAATCAACAGACACATTGTAAAATTACAGACTTATTGGCATGGAACATAAAATCTACAATGAACATTTTTTGTATGTGTGAAATGATGTACAATATTAATGATGTACAGTGCAATGAAATCTGGGTAACTATGATCATGCAAATAAAAATCTTCCACAATCATTTTCTCATGTTTTATAAAATGGCCTTGAAGATATATTTCCATAAATACTTCTGGTGCAGTTTAGTCAATAACAAAAATACAAAGCTATTCCTTATTTGTTATGTTATAGATTTAAAAACATGCCTCCTTTGTACTACTGCAACAGAAATAGTGTGTTGGGAAAACTGAACTAATTAAACATTAAGAAAAAAAAGTATTGTAATCCAAAATTAGCTGCCTCGACATACAGCAGCTTCCTATAATCACTGGTGTCGGTATTGGTGTAAATAAAGAAAAGTTAAACACTGAGAAAACATAATTCAAAACATCTTTCTAAAAATAAAAGGTTGTTCCAAAAACATGGAAATCTTTAAAAGAAAAAAAATCACATCAATTGCAAAACACACTGGAAAATAGTAAAATGTCATTTTCTAAAATAGTAACTTCTTTATTATATCCCCCATCTATTATAACCAATCTTGGAAATATACCTTAAACATAATGGTGTTTTATATGAAAATGCTCCATTATTCAATGTGATAAATTTAATAAGTTAGAATATGATTTTTTTTTCTGGTGTTAACTACCATGAAAAAAACAAAAGAACAGCACCTGAAATACTAAAATGATTTGGGTAAGTATTAATCAGTAATCTGTATGTTTTGGTTCAAAATACAGTCTATATAACTGTAAAAAGAATACTCCCTTAAGCAATTTGTTTCTATGTTTGCAGATTACAATGAACAAAAAAAAAGAAAAGAAAAAGATCTGTTCTAAATCCAAATAAATTTCCACTTCAACCAATCTAAATGAAGTGGAGTTGCATTCAATATTGTAAGACTGTGATTCATACAGTAGCTGATATAGTTGAATATATCACTTCTACCCTGTCCCTCCCCCCAAAACAATTTTTGGCTCCAAAATAAAGTACAGTAATAAGCTTTTGATGAAAAACTATGTTATGGGGTAATCTATCATATACTGTGGCTAAATATGAATTTACAGAAAAAAGCACATCTCATTTTCAGCACTTTTCATAAACATGCAACTCACTATAAAATACAAAACACTTGGCTTTCAAGAACAGATTTATAAAGACACACTGCATCAATAAAATTTTTTCTTTCTGATTAACTTTACACTGTTATGAAGAACTGGTATTTTCTAAATGTGTATATATCAGATTTTATATTATAGTGTAATAATTTGCATTTTCTGAACAAAATGTTCAAAAGGAAATTACTTATACACAACAACATTCTAGACTATGAAAAACTCAAGTTACAGAATTTTATTGATACAGTAGATTAATAAAAACTGAAAAGGGATGATAAAATGGGATAAAGAATTCATTACATTATTTTATAACACACTCTTTAAAATTAAAATATTTTAAATCTCTTTCTTCTTAAAATTTTCATTGCCATGAAAGGTCAGAAAATTCTGGGACCAATACTGAGTTGATCTGTAAAGCAATCAAGCAACGTTAGGACTATTTCACAATTTGCATGGTGTCTTCCCATCAGAAGCTTAATTCTGGTGTAATGGCAAACCATTTAGCACCTCTGAATATTGAGGATGCCCAGGAGTAAACACTAGGTAAGATACACAAGGGGAAAAGACTATTTAACACTCCCAACAAATAGTGACATCAAGAAAATGACACCAATTGTTGAAAAAAAATTTTTTTTCACAGTAAAACTGCAGAAAATACAAATACGCTGACAGATTACTGCTTAAGATCTATCCTAACAAACTCTTTTCAAATCAATAGATCCAGTAAACAGTTGGGTACTGTCAGTTTAAAGCCGCAGATAAAAGCTATACAAGCACTTTAGAAGTCAGAAACATTTAAAAGGAAAGAAAAAAAGATATTTACAGGTTTTTCTTTAGTTTATGTCTACATAGCCATCGCACATTACACTTTCACAATACTCCATAGTCAATGTCATCACCATGTGTATGGCTAAAGCGTGTGACCACAAATGCATGAGGTCATAAAGTAAGGTCCAACTGTCCGTTCTTCAGCAGTCCCATTTTGTGCATCAAAGGCTTGATTCAGCCTCAAGCTTGACAAAAAAATGATTTTTTCCAAAGTTTTCGTAAAGAAAATTATATTTGTTCATCGCCTTTCCCTTTTAGAACTTCGCCGCCGTACCTTAAGAGAAAAGTCACCAGAGACTTCATTAAAATGGGAACACATTTATTAAACATAACAGTAATTATTTTTTTCAACCAATCTTTATTCTCACTTGTTTCTGAATCTGCTTTCTCTGTTTCCCCGAAACCTTTCTCCTTTTAACTTTCTGCCTTGGCATCACATATTTAGGTCTCTATCCAAATCCTTACATGCCCATAAACAGCCTTTCCCAAATCAGCAAAGTAATTTACTTTTCTATCTGATAAGCCTAGAGATAAATGATCAGACATTAAACTTCAGAGTAAGAAAAACAACTACACATGGATTTATCATCTTTCTACTTATGTTTCTGTAGTAAAAGAAAACATTTGATAATTATGAACTTGTGCTTGCAACTATCTTTCTAGAAAAGTAGAATTTGGTTTCTAACAGCTATCAAATAGATATAAATAATATGAGATTAAATATATTACCATTTACAGACAAATGCTAATGAAAGCTTAAAACTAAAGATCAGTATAAACAATATAAATATAAAAAGAACAGGGTTTTAATTAATTTACTGCATATTTTTCTATGATTAGTAAATCTTACTCTGACCCCTGTCATTCCCCCACCCGCCTTAAAAAACCTTTAGTAGCTAAGCCAAACCAAGTTTGAGAGTACAATTCAGCTTGACCTACCTATGTACACAAATAAATCCCAGGGCACATAGGACCACTGCTTACATGAAAAAGGACAAAGTCAGCAAAGAACAACTCTGGTGGAAGTTGGTCACAGAACTCAAGTTTCTCAAGGAAAGAAGGCTGGCTGAGCTAATCTAAAGATTTAGTATTAGGGGCTGGGGTTGTAGATCAGTGGTAGAGCGCTTGCCTAGCACGCATGAGGTACTGGGTTCAATCCTCAGCACCACATAAAAATAAAATAAAAGTATTGTGTCCAACTACAACTAAAAATAAATTTTTAAAAAAGATTTAGCATTAGTATATCAATATTTAATTACGCTGATTATGTGTTTTCCAAAGAGAAGTATCTTAGATATGTTAACTGGCAAAGCCATTCAATTAACTGAAAAAAAAAATTTTTTCCCCTGGGAAGCACCACATCCCTATTTTCTAGTCTATTGTGAAACTCAAACAGAAATGTCAAATTCATGAAATATAAACAATAGTGTACTTCACGGATATCAATGGCCTTAAAATCAAGGTACAAATTAAATGCTTCAAGTGTTGATGCTAAACTGCTACTTGTACTTCTCTACATTCAGTTTAGAATTGATGTTTATGCATTCACTATGCTATACCTATTATTCTCACTTCATTTCAGACTTCCATAAAAGTTGTTTTTATCCAAGTTGTATTATCCAAGCTGGTACTGGCACTATAAACTATAGCAAAGAATTATATTTGGAATTACAGGCAACACTAAGCGCCAAATGGATCTGACAAAATATTTACTGAATCTATTTTTATACTGCATACTACTAACACATGACATTTTAATAAACACATACGTTTACTGCAGAAACTTCCTCTTCCTCTGTTTCTTCCTGTGGAATATCATCATTGACAGGAGAGTTACCCTGAAACACATCCACTTCTTCACTTGAATCATTTTCTTTAGTAGCTGCTTGCTTGGAGCGTCCTACACGGCTAGAGTAAAAACATGTAAAATGAAATAAACATTTCAGTCCTTAAGTTGTAGATTACCTCATTAGAAGAAATGCATCAAATATTTTGTGAATTCTTCTACCATTTTTACCCTCAATTACATCATGAGGTATGTATTTTTAATATTCTAAGCCTTACTATTTATTTTAGAATCTTACAAACATAGATTTTCCAAAGAACAAGAGTTAAGTGTGACTGACTATAACCATAAAAGATTTCAAAAGTCTGACTTTCCTTTCACCTTTTACAACTCAGAAAAGACTTCTATGTCCACTGACAAACCAAAGCGAAAATTCTTTGAGCAGAAAAGAGTATACCATTCCTGGCCTAATACATTCCACTCACAGGAATCACAAACCCTTCACTTCTCCCCCATTTTCACCGCTACTATCTAATTCAAACCATTCCTGCCTCTTGTCTCTTCCTTTTGTAAAATATTCTCTATAAAAAAAACCTGTATTAGTTCTTTTTAGGTATACAAAACATTAGGATTCATTCTGATGTAATTATAAAAGCATCAAATGTAGTTTGCTCTAATTTAGTCCCCAGTATTTCCCCTTTCCCTTCCCTCTACTCTTACTGATCTATCTGCTATTTACTTAGGTTTTTAAAAATTTAGTGTTAAAAGAATAGCTGATGTCAATACCTATTTACATCTTTCTACAGAACTTACGAGTAATTTTCTAAAACCTACTAACTTATTATAATGACTCTGAAGATAAATTGCCTACCTGTCTGTTCTCATCTCTTTTTACTCTCCAACTCCTGACACAACTACAATCCAGCAAACCCTGGCTTTCCTTTAGCTTTAAATTTGCAAAGATTTTTCCCACTTCAGAAACTTCAAATATAGTGTTCTCTCCATTTGGAATGTCCTTCTCCTTATTCTCTGACTGCTTAACTCTTTATTATTCTCAAATAATCAACTTATTATCATTTTTCAAAGAAATATATTTCCCCACCTCCCCAATTCTCCTATTACATTCTCTTAGAGCATCCTAAAATTCTCCTTCAATGCATATCACAAGCCCTAATTCTTTTTTAAAAATATTTTTAGAAAACAATTTTATTTATTTATTAATTTTATGTGGTGCTGAGGACCAAACCCAGTGCCTCACATGTATGAGGCAAGTGCTCTACCACTGAGCTACAACCCCAGCCCCAGAAGCCATAATTCTTTATTTATGTGATTATTAATGTGATTCTTTAATGACTGCATTCCCATTAGACAGTAAGTCCCATGAGGATAAGAACCATGCTTGTTAAGTGCCACTATACATGAAGTGCATGGAAAATAATGGTAATCTTTTTCAATTCCACTGAGCTCAGAAAACATACATGCACACATGCACGCACGCGCGCGCGCGCGCGCGCACACGCACACACACGACATATAATACCATATGTTCTATACCACCTAATACCATATGTTCTAGCTCTGAAAAAGAGGCCTCCAGAGCAAGGAAACACGCTGCCAAGATAGAACACAGAATCTCTTCCTATACAGAATTGTAAAACAAACAAATAAACTTAGGTTTTGAACATGCATAAGAGAATTTGTATTGTTTTGGAAGGTAACACATTAAGCCCTTAATTGTATGATGTCCAGATATAAAGAAACTAAAGTTACAAGGCTGAATAAAATATTTAACCCCTTTTATTCCCTTGTTAAAAATTTCATCACAGGTATTAATGCTCCCTAAGAATTCTTTGTTTAGAAATAGTGATTTTTCTTTGGCTGAATTCAAATACATCTGTGAAGTTGCCATAAAAAATGCACTTACCTTTATCTTTAACCTGAGAGAGAAAAATATTTAGTTCCTAATATTTATTCCTAACCTTCATGTTAGGAGGCATGAAGTACTGGCTAGATGCTTAGGCAACTTTTCCTTTTCCTGTGGAATACACAGGAACAGGAAACACTCCAAGGTAATCAAGTAACTAAGATATGTTGGCAACACTTGAAAAGTGAAGCTGCAGATGTAATTACATACTGGATTCTCTCAGAAAAAGTGTGCAGAATTTCTGATGAAGCGAAGATAAACTACTTCCACTTACATAACTGAGATGAAAATATTTCCAACCATATATATCACAGTATTGATGCTCTTGTCATGTTAATAATTTGTCATGTTGACAATACAGGTTTGTTGCTATACCTCTCTTATAAATGTGCCTGTGTGAATACCCAAAACTATCTATATTTAGATATAGACAAATGAATTCAATTAGAAAACAAAAACATAAAATACTTGAGATCAACATGTGATAATTTCTATGGATTTAAGAAAGATGGTATCTGTTACTTTTCTATGACAAGTTCAAAAAATAAAAGCAGAAGTATAAAACCAATTTTTTAAAAAGAAAAAGTTGCTATGAGGAAATATGAAGAAAAATTGTAGCTTGTGATGATGAGGCAACCTGGTTAAATGTGTAGTGATTATATAAAAATACCTAATCATCTCTTTAGATACATAAAAAGTCTGTATTATTTGGTATTCATTCATAAACTTCTGCCTAAACCTATAAAAATGAATAAATACTACCCAGAGGTTTAACTGGGATATCAATCACCTAGGTAAGTTTATAAAAATTTATCTTACCTAGTGTAATGGGACTAAATATTTGGATTTAAATATAGTAAATGAACTTTTGCAAAATAATTTGAAATTGGTTTGAAATTTAATATTATTTACAACTTACACATTTTTTTTGGGTTGTGATGGTGATGGCGTTTTTGATGGTCTTCCTCGTCCTTTCTGTGGTGTGGATTGTGTGGACTCAAGTGCACTAGTTTCAGGAGATTCTGCTCTGCTTTGGGGAAGACCCAAATGTGGATAGCATCAAATTATGGTTTAAAATATGGTACGTAAATAGATGTAGCTTAGAGTTACACATATTTACCTCTGCTGTGCTCTCCTTGATGCTCGGTGCTGCTTGCTTTTTGACTTCTGTTCTGTATTTCCACTTTGTCTATCTTCTTCCTCCTCTTCCTCTAGTGCAGGAGGTCCAGATTTTTTTTTGTTTCCTTTTTTAGAAGATTTCATCATTGGTTCTTCTTTTGGTGTACCTCCACCAAGAGGTTTTGGTGGTCGGCCTCTTTTACCCTTTTTTGGTGGACTGTTCTGTTCATCCTCATTTTCTAAAAGATCTTCTTTGAGCCTCTTCTCTTCAGGCCACTGCTGTTCATCTGATTCTGAAGCTGTATGGCCTCTTTTCCGGCCTCGTTGACTGCCTTTGGGTTTCTGTTCTTGTACCAATTTAGTCAGGTCATCCATGCCTAATTTCTCCTCTGGATCTGTGACAGGGTTTTTTTTCCGACTTCTAGGCTTCTCTAATTCAGACTGAAGGGAAAGAGGTCAATTTTTTAAAAATAAAATTGTTGGAGCTGGGGGGTATGGCTCTATAGCAGAATACTTGCCTAGCACAAGCAAGACCCTGGGTTCAATCCCCAACACCATAAAATAAATAAATAACAAATAAATAAAATTGCTCATAGAAAACATACAAATATTAACCAGATATTAACTGGGATATCAACTAGGTAAGTAAACAAAAATTTATCCTATGTAATGTAACAATAAAATTGTTAACATTAAATTTTTGAACAATGAAACTAACATATACCTAAATATCCAGTGCTCATATATGTCAGATATATGTCTTATATATGTCACACCTAAATATTTACTAGTTTTTTGTTTTGTTTTGCAATGGCATCTTGCTATATTGCTTAAGCTGTTCTCAAATTAATGGACTAAAGTGATCTTCCAACATCAGCCTTCCAAGAAGTTGGGACAACAGTCATGAGCCACCATGCCCAGAAATTTACTCATTTTTCAATTTAAAAAAATTCTCTGGGGTAAGAGAATAACTCAAAAGGAAGCCTCGCAAATCACTACTTTATTAAATTATATATTAGTGAAGAACTGTTTCATAGGTTGGGGTTGTGCCTCAGTGGTAGAGCACTTGTCTAGCATATGGGGGGCGCTCGGTTCGATCCTCAGCACCATATGAAAATTAAAAATAAAGGTATTGGGCTGAGGATATGGCTCAAGCGGTAGCGCGCTCGCCTGGCATGCGTGCGGCCCGGGTTCGATCCTCAGCACCACATACCAACAAAGATGTTGTGTCCGCCGAGAACTAAAAAATAAATATTAAAAATTCTCTCTCTCTCCTCTCTCCTCTCTCTTTAAAAAAAAATAAATAAATAAAGGTATTGTGTCCAACTACAACTAAAACAAGATATTAGAAAAAAAAAGAATTGTTTCATGAAAAAGGACATTCTAGATTCACTGTATGATACTAAAGGATAACTATAATAAAGAATCTGTTTTGATAGTCAATTTAAATAAGTTTAATTTCACCAGAGCATAATAAAACATCAAAAGTTATACATCATGCTTACAACATCATAAAAGAGCTATTTCTGTTTTCTAAATGAAGATTGATATAAAAGTTAAACACATATTAAAACTTCTGTAAATATTTATGACTCAGAGATACTATTTCTAAGTTAGTTAATTAGCAACAACAAAACATCAGTGGCTTTCAATTTTAAAATAAAATCCTAGTCTACAATCAGTGAATTTGAAATGAAAATGCACAGGGAGACTGAGAAAATTCTCCAGGGACCCAAGAATGAGAGTACATGTACAAACACTTAGAAGTCATGAGGGTGGGGACTTTATGATGGGATTAATATCTTGTAAGAAGCACCTCTCTCTTTCTCATATGAGGACACAGTGAAAAAGTGCAAGACAGGAAGAGAGCCCTTATCAGAAACTGAAATCTATAGGCATCTTGACCTTGGACTGCCCAGCCTCCACAACTGAGAGAAAATAAATTTCTGTTGTGAAAGTCTATGGTATTTGATCAAGACACTAGTGTATTTTGTTTTAGAATAGAATGTGAAAAAAAGTTCAAACTGTTTCCCCTACCCCTACCTTCAAAAAGACATTCAATCATTTCAGAACTTCTGATTTATTATATTATGTTCCTTTATTTTATGTTTTGAAAAACAGAATAATTCTGGGCTAATATAACAGCAGTACAATATTTTACTAATTATAGTAACTAAATGTTTGTGTCTAGTTGATTCTATTTTTTAACTGTTTTTTTTTAAATAAATGACAGCAGAATGCATTACAATTCTTATAACACATATAGAGCACAATTTTTCATATCTCTGATTGCACATAAAGTATGTTCACACCAATTTGTGTCTTCATACATGTACTTTGGATAATAATGTCCATCACATTCCACCATCATTGGTAACCCTCTGTCACCTCCCTTACCCTCCCACGCCCTCTGTCCTACCTAGAGTTTCGTCTATTCCTCCTATGCTTCCCCTCCCTACCCCACTATGAGTCAGTCACCTTATATCAGAGAAAACATTAGGCATTTGTTTTTCAGGGATTGGCTAACTTCACTTAGCATTATATTCTCCAATGCCACCCATTTACCTGCAAATGCCATTTTATTCTCTTCTATTGCTGAGTAATATTCCATTGTATATATATGCCTGCAAATGCCATTTTATTCTCTTTTATTGCTAATATTCTATTGTATATATATGCCACATTTTTTTTAATCCATTCATCTACTGAAGGGCATCCAGGTTGGCTCCACAGTTTAGCTATTGTGAATTGTGCTGCTATAAACATTGATGTGGCTGTGTCCCTGGAGTATGCTGTTTTTAAGTCCTTTGGTCTCAGAAGAGGATATACAATCAACAAATATGTGAAAAATACTCATCATCTCTGATTCTATCTTTATTACTCCTGATTTCTTATTTATTTTCTTTCACATGGACTTGAGACAAGATAACACTGAACTTTTATAATTGTATGTTAACTTAGGAAAAAACTAACAACTTTTTAAATACCTTTTCTCATGCAGAAACACGGATATTTTCTCCAAGTCCTATATTTCTCAGTTTTAAAATTATTTCTAAATAAAGGTTCCCCCTACTTCTTTTTAAGATTATGTTTAGATTGAGCTATCTATCCATTCTATTTAATCTATCTTGTTGCTGCAGTTTGTTTTGATAAAGGAAACTCCCTGTCCCCAAGTGCCTGATATAAAGCAAAATTAAGAGAGAGAGAATTACTTGCACACAAACATACAAGGATACCATATTGCATTCTTAGCTTTTCAATTGCTTCTCCACTGCAAAAATAACAATGTGTATGTCTTTTCTGCTTCATTTTTATTCCTCTGACTTCTAGTTTATGTCAAGATTCCCGAGTTGATCAAACATTCCAGAACAATTTTAAATAATAGGTGAACAGGCTGCTTGTTTTGTTTCTGATTTTTAATAAGAATGCTTCAAGTGTTTTGCCTTTTAAGAAGAATGTACTGACTACTGATTTCAAACAGACAACTTTTAACACATATTCATGAACGAGTTTTAAATCTTGTTCTTGAAAGATCTGAGATTATTTTGTTATAATTTTCCTTTTTCAGTACATTAATTTACTATATGGTATTAATTTTTTAAAACATTATACTATCCTTGAGTTCCAATGAGAGGAAAAGACCTAAGTGAATGGATGCAGTTAGTTTGTATTTAGTTCTGTGCTTAAGTTAAAAATTAAATACTGCTATAAAGAAATCTGAATATAAGAGAAATACTAAATTAAAACCAAATTTAATATATTATCTCCAATTTTAAATGTAACAGGTCTTTTTGATATCCAAAGGTTTAAAAAGATTCTTTCATGCTTTGGAAAGGTTAGTATAAATAGAAAATCCAATGTCCACTTTCTTAAGAATACTAGAAAATAATTGGATTTCATAAAACATTACAAATCCTAATTTTTCATTTTTAGTTGTATTGTTTTAAAAACACAGGGAATACAAAACTGAGGTGAGAAGTCAGAAATAGAGAAACATAGTATCTATAACATATAAATGTATATAAATAATAATTCCTTTGCTATGAAATTTCTATATGAAGCTGGTAGTATGCAAATAGTACTAATTCATTATAATCTACTGGTATTTAAAAATAACTTGGGTTGCATAATGCTTAACTCTTCAAGGGTATTTCAATCAAAATTTTATTAATAAGTTTCTTATGGTACCTCTAAAAAAGGGTTCAACATTACACACCATCCCACAATAGATGGCAAAAGGTTTCCATGATAATAACACAAATAAATCTCAAGAAACCAGGAATTCAAAACAGTCTATGAAAAATAAAATACTCTGTCTGTACTGCCCCAAAAGGCAGTAACATGGAATGTATATATCCCAACACTAAAAATCAACAAAAGCCACATTCCCAACTATATTTGGTGGGGGGCATGTTGACATGGGTATGGTACACTATGGGAGTGGCCTAGTTGACATTTCCAATAAGAAAAAAAAAAAATCTTGAGTTCTCCCCTTAACAATTTTTCAAAAACAAAAAAACCAACTCTTGAAAATGAAGGATTTTCTACAGTAAGAGATAATTAGAACCACAAGACAAAAATACCTTTTCCAATTCAAAAGTTCTCTTCTATAAATCCAGATAACAGGATTCTTTTCTGGCTATCAACTTTTCTGCTTAGGTGAAATTTTTAAGTAGTTAATGAAGATCAAAATTTACAGTATACTCAGGTGTAGTGTGGCACATGCCTGTAATCCCAGTGGTTCTGAAGGCTAGAGCAGGAGGGAGTGCAAGCTCAAAGCCAGCCTCAGCAACTTATTAAGGCCCTAAGTAATTTAAACAAGACCCTGTCTCAAAATAAAAAATAAAAATGGCTGGGATATGGCTCAGTGGTTAAACACCCTTGAGTTAAATGCCTGGTACAATCAACCAATCAATCAATAAAACAAAAATTACAGTATAAAGAATAAGGACTAAGAATAGAAAGTATTATCATTATAATAACAATGAAAGAAGAGCAACAATTCACTTGTTTTGTAAACCTAATCAGCTAAATATGTACAAATATTTCCTCACAGATATACTGACTCAAACAGCCTAATCAATAATTCAAGAAATGTTTTTTAGAGTTGAACTGAAAAATCATGTATTATATATCTGTAGTAAAATGTTACCAAATTTTTTTTTTTTATATATTTTTTAACATTTATTTATTTTTTCTTAGTTCTCGGCGGACACAACATCTTTGTTGGCATGTGGTGCTGCTGAGGATCGAACCCGGGCCGCACGCATGCTAGGCGAGCGCGCTACCGCTTGAGCCACATCCCCAGCCCCCAAATTTGTTTTCAACTGACATTTATTAAATAAGATCTATCACAGAAGTCATTTCTACTAAAGTTTAAACACTGAAGGAGAATTTAATGAAACCATAACATTTCCTACCTTTACTAGAAGCTTATTTAGTAAATGGTTCAAGAAATGAAGTTAACGGAGAAGGCTTTAGGACCTTCATTCCATATCACTTCTCTAAAGCTAACCTAAATATACTGTGTTAATTTTTTTTTTAAAACAAAACAAAACCAAGCAGTTTTGTGTGTGGAATAGACATGTTGGATTCCAAAGACATGAAGAATTAAGGCAATTATCAGAATAATAAACACATAAATTTCAACATAAAGAAATTGCAAGGCATAGAAAGTAATTATAAATTCAGATTTGTATAAGTACAGCAACAAAACAAAAATCAAATGCCAAATTTGATAGTAATATTAATTAGTTTCAGTGTAAAAATCGACAATGAATAAGCATAAAATTACTATTAAAATTATCATAAAATCAAACCAAATATCTCACCCTTACAAGATCAGAGTCGTCTCTCTTGTCACTTTTTTTCCCCGGCAAAGGTGAAGACATTGTGTAATCTTCATTTTCACTGTGATCCATTTCAGAACTATCAAGCCTTTTAATACAAACATTTACAATTGTTATTACAATCAAATAATCTTAAAAGTCTTTTCTCTTTCCTAGTATATAACTTTACAGCTTTATGAGGAAAACTTCATTCATTTTTTGAAGATGAATGTTTTTGTTCTATCATCTTTAGCACTAAATCAATAAGCAATAATGTTCATTTAATATAGTAAGGAAATTAAAAATCATAAATTCAGTTTTTTCCCCTAAGTCTTTCTAAAACCTAAATTCTGTTTTTGTATGGAAACATAAAGCAAATTAAAACTATTTTGTTAATAAATTAAGATTGGCATATACTGCAACCTGCCCTGTCCCATTCTTTTATTCCCCCTTCCATTTTTTCTTTTCTCTGTAGCACTTCACCTTAAGACACTTTAGTTATTATGTTTACCATTCACTGACTACTGTTAGAATGTGAGAATGGCTCTTCTGTCATCTTTACTCACCAATGTAGGCTAAGCACTTGAATATGACTGGCTTTGAACAGGCACTCAATTCATACTTGTTAAATGAATTAACAGCACAAGCTCTCACGAATGTATAAAGGTGCAGTCTTCTGTCTCATCCTTATCTGCTTCTTAAAACTGTTTACACATTGTTGAACCCTAAATCTCGATCTGTTCCAGCTAACCTGAGTTCTAAAGTCACATATACAATTGTCTACCCAACACTTCACTTAAATTTCTAACAGAAACCTGATCTTTAACATAAGCCAAAACAGTTTTTCAGACACTCTTTTTCCATACTCTGCTCCTCAACACATACATATAAACACAGAGCCTGTTACTCCTTAAGACTTCTAGATCTCAGTAAATGGTACCACTATATATCCAGTTTTTTAAGCAAAGAAACCCTGGATACTTTCTCTCCCTAATTGTTCACATCTAATAAATCAGTAAGAGCCATTTGGGTTTAACATCAAAATAAATGATAAGATTTGACTATTTGTCATTATTCTCTCTCTTCATTCCTTTCCCAGACTACTTACTATTATTAGCTAACTCACAACTGATTTTTCTACCTCAACTTTAGTTCCTCTATAGTATATTCTCCCCAGATCATCAAGGGAGTATTTCTTAAAAGCATAAATTAGGTCTCTAAACTCCCAAACAGCATCTTCCAGCTGCACTTAAAATCAAATCCAAATTCCTTATCATGGAAATCCAAGAAAACTGGTAAGACTTTTTACAACATCTCTCTCCTTTACTGACTGATTATGAACAATGCAAAAGACAGTGTAGTCTTTCCTAATTATATAGCAAGGATCAATAAACATCGAGTTTAGCCCTGCATAATGATCTGCTGCTAAAAAAATGATGTCCTTGTGCTAAAACCAGCAAAATGGTGAATTATTTTTTCCATTTGTTCTTTCTTACAAAGAAAAAAAATGCTCATTTTAAAAACCATTTTTAAACAAAAAGTTTACACATACATATACATAGTAAAAAAAAAAATTCAAACTGTACCAATAGCATAAAATGGTCTCCCTCCTATTCTAGGTTATCATGAACAGATTTGGTCTGTTCTTCCAAAAACTTTCTATACATGTACAAACAAATGTGAGTATAAATCTTTTTTCAAAACAAAGATACCATAACACTGTTCTATATACTCTTTGCCTTTTCACTCATTAATGTATTATGTATTCCATGCTAACTCGTATCTCATCATTTTTTAATGACTATGTGTTCTAACTATGGATGTATCTATCATTAGTTAACAGTTTTATAAGCACAAGATACTGAAGTTAGAAACTGGTTATGTGTACTAATACAGAACACTCCAACATGGTTATATATAAAAAACTAAGAAAAAGTGTATACTACAAATGAGCAAGCAAATAAATATGAATTTGTTGACTACCAATGTTAAATGGGAAAATTATGCATTAATTTCCATTCACTAACTTTTAATGTTTTAGTCACGTTATTTTAGATCTCACAGCCTCATTGGAATTAATAAATGTAAAGTATGTTACTTATGTACTTGCCTCCCTTTTATTCTTCCGGGAGAGCTTGGATTTGAGCTGCTGCTTGCATTGCTTACAGTTTCCATTCGTGATGATTTGGTTTGAGATTGTTTTCCTGCTGATGAAAGTGGCTTATTAACAGCTCCTAGAACATTGGTTGTTTTAGGCTGAAATGAGAAATGTTTCTATTTGGTTAAAACTAAAAGAAACTTACAGGTCAAACAATAAATAATATCTGTTATTTATTTACATATAAATCATGAAAAATGTGCCTATCTTTAAGCAAATTAAAAACTATACAGATAACAAAGATTTTCTTAAAGTTATCTGAAGAAGAAGGCTTAAACAGAAAATGAGGACAAATAAAATACATGGTTACTGCTGAAGAACATAAGATGATGCCTTAAGATTTTTATCTTAAATTTAGGATGAAAAAGTCTAAGTATAAAGGTCTCTTGAGTTTTATCATAGCTAAAATATAAGTTTGTGTATCTCAGTCTATATTTATATGATAGATAAAATTATTTCTCACTAGCAATGAAAGACAGTAGATTATATTTCCTACCATTAGATACACAAATTTTTAAAGAAGGAAAAACTAATATATGTAGGTAATTAATTATACTAAAATAAACCTCCACATAAAATTAAAAATGATTCTTAAGACATACTTTTCCAGGAGTGAAAAACGATTTCATTTCTGGAGGCAGGTAATTTTTGGTGTTACTGAAATTCTACAAGCAAGAGAAAAAAGTAGTCAATGACTATTGAAATACTATATTTACAAGGTGGTTAAAATCCAACAAAGCACAAAATAGCTTTTCTGTTTTAAAGGACATATTTATTAAATTAATCAGTTGAACCACAAAATTTAAGTCATTGATTTTAACTACTATTAATAAACTAAAACTAACCTTGAACCAATTACAATTAATAGCAAAACATATTTGAGTCCCAATATGCTAAGACTGCATCAGTAAATATATGTTCCTCTAGTAACACTCTTCAGACAGACCACATACACTCCTGTTATCTTGCTCACATCAAAGTGAATTTCTAAAAACACACAGCCCCTTTAGCTATTTGGTAAACCTATTTCAAATCTCCATATATTGGTAAGATCTTACCTGGCATATTGCTTTAAAACCAAAAAGGAAGACAGTGGTGGTTTCCAGACTGCTAGATAAATTACGAATCTATAATAGTGAATGGAAAACACCTTCTGCATCTCATACAACACTTTAGTTTTTGGAGAGTGGTTTGGAAATGCTCTTACATTATTTCCAGAGTTTTGGGCCTGTTTCAGGATCTGTTCTACATATGTATATAACTTCACATTTTTTTTTTTTGGCTTTCATTAGTGCATTATCATTATACATAATTGTTGGCTTCATTTTGATATAATCATACATGCATGGAGTTTAATTTGGAGTTCAATTTACATTACAGTTCCTGGTACCCACCGCCTATACTGTATCTTTATCTACATTCTTTTTCCATTTGGATTAGTGGCCATTAACTCATAAATCCATACATCTTGATCACATTCTTTGCCTGTTTCTCTTAGCATGGTTTCAATCTCTGAAGACAAACTCTTGATCATCCTAACTCAACTCTAAACCACTGTATCCTCTAATTTGGCCCACATTTAGTCTTGAACTACATTTTTAAAACTAGTGGCAATCTTTCCATGTCATAGTAGTGGGTCAACTTTTGATAAGGATACTTCCTGATCTCCCACAACCTAGTGCTGAAATACATTTTATTTCAAATTACTACCTTGTCCGGTTGGGTGAAAAAACGGGCTGGTAGTACTGGGTCTTTAGGAGATTCCAAACTGTATGTGGTGCTCTTTGACATGATGATATTCATGGCAACATCACACACAGTGTATAGTTTCTGTAATCAAATTAAAAAAGAAAAAAAGTAGGTATTTAAGTTGGCATCCTAAATGTTGTAAATAAGAAGTAATTCTACAACATTCATCCAGTCTAAATAGTAAACTAATGAAAGTAATTGTCAGCATAAGCATTTGGCTTACACTATTGTTTTGATTATTTATTACTAATAAAATTACTACTAATCCTATATTAGAAAATCTAATTACTATCAACAGGAAAAAATTGATAAATAAATCTGTAAATTAATAATTACAGTTTCATTCCCCACAACTAAATGTTTAAATCAACATGGAATCAAATTTACAAAAGGATTATTACATACTTCATTCATTTTTGCATCATCTGGTCCTTGGGCATCTTTTGTTTGTTTAATATTTTCAACCATTTTTCTGATAAATGCATGACTGTTATTTTCATTTTTAGCCATTAATATTTCCAGAACAAACCAAAGACATCTAAAAAAAAAAAAGGAAAATACTTTTGTTAAATATACATACAATAATTCCAAACAAAACAGAGCTAGATTATAACCCCAGAAGGGGAAAAATTTAAAAGGAAATAGCACACACACATACCACAGAGGTTAGCAATGTATACATGAGTTGCTCAGATCCATTGCCCTTTTAGTCTCACTAGATTTCCCAAAGAAGGTTAAAAAAAGAATCAGAGTGGAAAGAATGATGTGCTCTTAATCTGTGATATGACATCAAAGGAAAAATGCCTCAAGGAATAGTTGGGCCATGGATCAAGTGAGGCCTCAGACACTCAAGACTGACTCAAATCCTGATGGGAAGTCTCAAAAGATTACAACCACTGTATTAAAAGGTTAAGATTCCTCATTAATAAATCAGAAAGGAAAAAGTTATGTTGACATCTATACACACTGTCTTTGCTTAGTTCAGGAAAATTGTTTAAAAAGTTTCAGTAGCCCAGTTTTAATTACACAAAATTCTTTCGATAAAAATTCAAAAGTGTTTCTCTCGGTATTACATAGACAGAAAGAGACACAGTTATAGTTGATGTACAAAGGAGAAAAATAATGGAGAAAAGAAAGAAACAAGCAAGATATTTTAAAAGGGAAAAATAATCTTTAGGATCTCAATCATGGGAGAAGTTCTTCTAGACTGGCTCTTTGGTAAAATATAAATTATTTAGGGCAATACTGGGCAATTTAGAAAGATAAGTCAAGCCAGGCATGGAGGTGCACGCCTGTAATTCCCGCCATCTTGGGAGACTGAGGCAGAAGGATCACAAAGTCAAAGCCAGCCTTAGCAACTTAGCAAGACCCTGTCTCAAAATAAAAAATAAAAAGGGTTGGAAATGTGGCTCAGTGGTTAAGTACCCCTGCGTACAATCCCTAGTACTGAAAAAAACAAAAAATAAACAAAAAAGGGCTGGGGAAGCTTCAGTGGTAAAGTGTTCGTGGGTTCAATTCCCAATTGGGGGGAAAGGGACAACTTATTAATTCTTAGGATAAACCAATGTTCTCAGACAAAGAATAGTTACTAGAAGTTTATATCAGTCATAATCCCTCCAACAAAGAATGCATTTATGGAGAATTAGTTGTTGATTTTTCAGAAATAGAAATGTGGCAAAGAAACTAAGTAGTAGCTTTTTCCTTTGCCATAAGAAGTTACTGATGATTTTAATTTTATTCTCCTGACATACCTCAAATATTTAACTGTAAAAAATTTCTAGAATTAGGAAATCAAGAATTACTTTCCATCACTAGTATATTAAAGGTGTAATAAATGAACTGATTCAAAATCACAAAGATCATTTTTTATTATAACAAAAAGACGACCAGGGGTCAAGCTTAAAAGAATTATACTAGTCTTAAACTTTTCCAAATACCACAGTATCCCCGTGTTCTACACCCAGGCATATGCAATGTTTGCAGTCTCTCAACAATAATGCTTGAAACAATAGCAAATGTCATAAACTCTAATTTTAAAAATTTTTAAAAATCACCAATAAAATCCTCCTGGTTATGAATTTGGCTCATAATGAAATTACACCTTAATCTCTTCCTATGGAGGAAGACAGTTACTGCAAAGAAAAATATGCTTACTATGTGAGTAAAGGAGATTATTAATTCAAATTATTAATTCAAATCATGAAAACTACCGAGTTTCACAAGGAAACAGGAAACTATAAGAACTGGAATAGAACTTTTTAATGGATTACTTCAACAGAAAAGGAATGTCAGACTGGTAGAGAAATAGAACCAAAGTATTTTAATTATGCTAAATTAAGTTTTGGGAAGTTACTTAAGAAATGTAATGTGAAAAGATGATATAAAAATAGACAAATAAAAGAATAAATAAGAGAAAAGAACCCTAAACTCCTATGAAATGAAACACATTAATAAACTAATTATAATTGAGATCCCATTATCAGCAATAAGGAGGAAAAAAAACAACTTTCAGAAAATATGAAAATGGGATGGAAAAAGTCTTACTCTTTAACATCTTTAAGTTGTTCAATATCCTGTACTTTGACATAATCTGGGTCATGTGCCAAAAGGTGAATTGTATATGGAACAACATACTCTGGTAGAAGAGACAATAATTTTTCTGAAAAAGAAAAAAATAAAAAATAAAAGAAGAAAAAAAGAAAAAACAAAAACATCCAGGTTAGAAAATCAAATCTTACACACTCTCTCTCTTTCATACTTTATTTCCTGTATCCCACTATTACTACAATATGGCTAGAAGAAAAACATATTGAAAACCCCTGCATTGAGGAACATAGTAATTTAAACAGTTTTGTCCACTCATCTGTCACATCTAATATTGAAATGCCTACTAAACACACCATGTGCTGAGGCTCAAAGACAAATATTCCAGTTTTCTAATGCATACGAAAAAAGGGACCCATACAAACTATATTCAAGATTGAGAGACATCAAGTCCATTTTTCCTGATATTATAAGCAGCGCTATGTATAATATTTTAAGCTGCTAAGAAAATAAAACACTTCTAGTAAATCTTTCAGTTGATGTGGCACAAAATAGGAATAGCTGATTTTATTTTTAAGAGAAGAATAGACATAAAAGAATGAAAATAAGGAATGGAGTTTTTATGATGTTTTAAATATCAAAAAAAATCTTTTCAGTTTAAATTCAAATAGTTTTATATGTTCACTAAGAGTGCCAAATTCTGTTAGAGATCAGGAAGGGAATCTTAACTAGTTTTAATAAAGTATCATATTTCCTTTATTTCTATTGCTGAACTTAAGAACAGTTTCTGAATAATGCCATTCATTTTAAGAGCAAGCATAGAAGAAAAGGAACAAGGTTTAAAATACAGTAAACTTTAAATTAAATTCTATCAAATATTTACTTAGTGCTTACTCTCCTCTATTAGAATCTAAAAGTATAAAAATGAATAAAACTAGGTAAAGATCTCACAGTAAAGAATAAACAGAGACAGAAGCCATCTTCAATGTGAAAAGTACTCTAAAATAAACAACTAGTATTGGCTGATAACTTCTTCAGGCAAATCATTATGCTAGGTGCTTTACATACATAAATATTTAATCCTCACAACTGTAACAAGAAGTAAGTATAATTATTCCAATTTTACAAATAAGAAACTAAGGCATGGATTAAATATCTTGTCCAAATACAATCAGTAAATTGCAGAGGTGGAATGTGACCACATAAGCCTTCACTTTTTGCAATGTGAAGAAGAAAAAAAGCAAAGATGGTCACAGTGATGCAATAACACCCAAACTATATTTTTAAAGAATTCAAAAAGTGCAAACCACACTTCTTTGTTTTATTTATTTATTTTTCTGGGAGAGACAATTCTCAGATAAGAGCTAACAACAGAGAAAAAAGATGGCTCCATAAATTTCAAGTAATTGAGGTTATAGCAGGAATAACAGAGTTCATAGTAGGAAACTACAGAGACAAAACTTGAAATTCAGACCGAGAGTAAACTATAAAAAGCCATGAGAAATATTTCAACTCTACCTCATAAGCAATAAAGAATTCACATGGATTTCAAGCAAAGAAGTAATGTGATCAGAAATGTGTTTTAGAATGATAATTTTGCTGTCAATGTGGCACAGTAGTGGGTAAAACTAGGGGACAGAGGCGTAGGGAAACATTTAAAGAGGGAGGTATTTAAGTGTGTATACAATGATCCAAAGGAAATGTGACCAGCTAGGAGAACAGAAGACAGATGTTCAGACATCTGGAGGAAGAATTAACAGGATTTGGTGACTAATGAGTGAGTTAAAGAAAAAAAGGTATAAAGAATGCCTCTGATTTCTGACTTGGATAAATGGACAGTTTTTAATGTCATTTGTTAAACAATCCTAGAAGTCAAGAGGCATATCAGCTAACCTTGAAGGGGTAAGGCAGACAGATGAAAAGCAGGCACACAAGCACCTGCTATTATTAATGTCAGCTATAGGTGAGAACAAACAACAAAGATCAAAGACTTGTACTTTTTTCAACTAAAAGTAGAGCTTAGACAATCTACATAAATGTACAAATTTCATCATTATGTTAAAAGTACCTCCAATGTAACTACTATTTTCCTTGGCCATTTAGTCATTTACTTAGAGATATAGGTTCAAATTTAAATAGAATAACATTAATATATTATACTCTTTTAAATAGTGAAACTGTAAGGTTGGAAAGTATACTTTCTATTTCCCTGTATACTTACCACTAACAGCTGCATGTTGCTTTAGATACTCGCGTCTTACATTTATATTTTTTACCAGACACTGTCTAGCATGAGCTCTTCTCTCTTTTACAGGATCTTTAGCACAAAGTGCACAGATTGCCATATATTCAAGTGGAAGCCGTAATCGGGAAAGGCCTTTGTGAAGTTTCTGAGCAAACACTTGTCTTACTTGATAGCATTCATCCTGTAAAGATATAATTATTTCAGGTATTATCCACATAGTAGGAAGGAGTAACAACTTAGATATAAAATGTGCTATATATCCATAGAGAAAAGGGCATACAGAAACAAGTTTATCTACAACCACTGCTTGACTGACTGTTCACAAGACAGATGTTGTAACTCAAGTTAATTTCAAGACTGGAATATTCACCTAACAACGATTCATTTACATGTTAGAAATATTAGATGCATTCTTAAAATTAGTAAATATAAATCAGTTCAAACTTAAATAGATTTTTTAAAATAAAGCACAGGGGCTGGGAGAGATTCGGTGTTAGAGCTCTTGACTAGCATGTATAAAACCCTGGGCTCAATCTCCTGCACAACAACAAATAACAAATAAATAAATAAATTTTAAAAAGCATAAGCACTATCTCATATATAGCTTTTTCATTTAGTAGCAAAGCAAAACTCTGCCAAATTTAAACATTTTAGTTCTATCATTTAAAAACCTATCAGATTGAAATGCACAGCTCTGAAGGCAAGAGATCCTAATCAATTTCTGAAGCACCAAATTACTTTTATTTGTATAAATAAGCCAACCTGTTAATCCTATGCCTGCTTACTTCACACAACTCCCTTAAACTATCCCCCCAACTCTCCTAGCTAACTCCTCTTCATTCTTGAAGACAGTTCAACTATCTGACAGAAAGAAGCATATAACATGTCTCTTATACCCAACCTAGGCTCTATTACAGCACTCTGTGCACATCCCCAGTAGTACATTCAGCTCATAACATTACTCGTTTATATATCTGTCTTTTATCAGTGCTAGTTTATTAAAGACAACTAACTTTGTTTTCATTCATTATTGTGTCTCTAATCCTAGCACAATAACTGGCACACAGATGGACAGAATTTTCTCTCAACTACAGGGAAAAGCTCAAACTTTTATATAACAAAGAACTTCATGCTCATTTATATGCTCCATGACACAGTGTGGTATATTTCATATTAATGCAACTTTAGGTACCATATTTCTTCTATCTAGAATGGTATCTTTTCTTAAAAACCTTGATCATAATATCTTGCCCTTATCTTAAATACTTATACTTTGTATATCTTCTTTCATTTAATTTAAACGTCCTTATCTTATAATATTAACTTTCTACTTTTTAATAAAGTAGTCTAGTTTTCATGGAAATTTCATCTATCTACCTTTACATTCAACAAAATAGTTAACTCATTCCTTCCTCAATATTAATGTCAGAGAAGAGCAGAGTCTTTATTTTTTTATTATGATCCAATTAAAAAGTGCATAAATAAAAATCAACATATCACAAATATATTTATAAAGGAACAGACCATTCATTAAAAAAATCAATCTGTACTCAGATATCTCTTCCTCCTCTTATATCTTTCCCCAAGACGGTGTTTTTGTCACTGATCATTCAGAATTCAACAATACAATACAAATTCCTCACAAAGTCAATCTGTAAATCATTGTAGCAGATTTTCATATTGTCATTAAAGTGATGTTAAAGAAATTTCAAGTCATAAGTAAGGCAACTTGCACAAACAACAACTGAAGAAGACACAAACTGACAAGAATGATACACAAGTGTTCAAGAGAATCAGCTGAATAAATTTTAAAAGGTGCTACTGGAAACTGAGGAAGTCTTCAAATATTTTTCTGCAAAGATGATTATCCTTTTCATTGTGCTATAAAGTAAATGTGGGGTAAAGAATTTTATCAGAAAAAAATGTACTTTCAAAAATGCAGACACCTGACTATAAAATAAATTCTAGTCTGCATCTTTAAGTAAATACACTTTCAGAGGCCTCTTTTAATACAAATTATCCTCAGAACTATTGGTAAGCAGTTCGATTACTTTGTGTAATAAATTCTGTTATCAACACATTTCTATAATCCCCTAAGAGATTGTTAGCTGTAGCCATTATTTATTCATTTTTGTATTTCCAGAACCTAGAACAATATATAGCACATACCAGTACAGAGTAAATTTTTCATGAACAGAACTCCAAATTCTAAAATACTTAACATGATAACCTAAATTATGTTAAGATTCATATTACTGAGTTTCTATTCTTTCAGAATTATTGACGAGGGTCTCCCAGGTACAATACTACCTATAAAGAGCCACAACTCAAGAGAAATAAGCCACATGTACATAAATAGCTAAAGCACAAGGCAAAATTTAATATGAATAAGAGGACTGAAGATAAAACCTACAAGGATTCAAAAGGACAGAGAGACTACTTCCCGCTAAAAAGAATCAGAACAAGTTTTATAGAGAAAGTTGTGTTTAAACCTTAATCTACAGAAAGGATTGGATAAGGATTATGAAAATGAGAAGATGAGAAGAAAACGAGAGCAAAGTACAAGGCACATAAAAGAAAAATTGTTCAGCTGCACAGAAACAAAGGTAAAGGATAGTGTACTAAACAACCGTTTTGCACCCAACAAGATTTTAAAGTGTATATTTGGGTCCCAACTATAGAGGGTCTCAAATGCCAGATCTTAAACAACTTAAACATCTTTTTTATAAGTAGGAAAATATCATGATCAGAACTGTGATTAGGGAATTCAACCAACAATAAAGAAATTCTCACAACAGTCCTAGTGAGACTTGATGACTATAGCAATTGGGATAGTTGACACGATACGAATAAAGAACAATAGATCTACCACTGAGTAGATTACTTGGACTTTTGCAATAAGATAGAAGAACAAACAGTCTAATGTAAATCATGCTTTTAGATCTGAGAAATGCCAAGAAAGAATAGATTTGGGAAATATTATAAATCCAGTCTTACTCATTCACAGGACATAAAAATTTGAAATTTCCATTTAGCATCTGATGTGGGACTAGGAACTTGAAAAAAACAAATATTGCAGTATAGTAATGACTCACTTAGATAATGAGATGGCCAAAGAATGTGTAAGTGCTAAAATTGATCATGGATAGATCTTCAAAGAACACACAAAATAATTAAAGGAGGAGAAGTGTCAGAAAATGTAGTCAAGAGACAGAAATTTTAAAAAACAAGAGACAGAAATCAAGAGAATTTCAAGAATAATGGTGCAATGAGTATTGTATCAAATGACACAGAAAGGACACTGAAAAATTAAGATCACTGAATCTGAGGACTTCAATAGGTTACTTATAGAAAACAATAATGGCAAATGCCAAGATATGGACAGTAAAGAGAGGGTAAGAATAAGACAGATTACTATTTCTGGAGGTGTAGAGGTTTAAAAAAGAAGAGATGGCATACATTGCTGGTGGGACTGCAAATTGGTGGACCCACTATGAAAAGCAGTATGGAGATTCCTCAGAAAACTTGGAAATGGAACCACCATTTGACCTAGTTATCACACTCCTTGGCATATACCCAAGAGACTTATCAGCATCTCTAGTGATATGACCACATCAATGTTTATAGCAGCTCAATTCATAATAGCTAAACTATGGAGCTAATCTAGGTTCCCTTCAACAGATAAATAGATAAAGAAAATGTGGTATAGTATATACATAAAGGGATAGTACTCAGCCATCAAGAAGAATGAAATTATGACATTTGCTGGTAAATGGATGGAACTAGAGACTATCGTGCTAAATGAAATAAGCCAATCTCCCAAAACCAAAGGCCTAATGTTCCCTCTGATATGCAGATGTTGACTCACAATAGGGGGATGAGGAAGGGTGTGGAGGTTCACCAGATTGGAGGGGAGAAGGGGAAATGAAGTGGGATGGAAATGGGAAAGACAGTAGAAGGAACTGTCTAGACATAACTTTCCTATGTTCACATATGAATACATGACCAGTGTAACTCCATATCATGTACATGGGAAGTTATACTCCATGTACGTATATGTCAAAATATACTCTACTATCATGTGTAACTAAAAAGAATGAATAAAAATTTAAAAAATAAGAGATGGGCATATGGTTTAGAGGAACAGAAGAATTAGGGAAAGGTTTTTTTTTTTTTTTTTAGAAGGGAATAACAATATGAATTGTGAGAAGATGCTAATAACTAAGTTTTACCCATTCACACAGGATTCCAAAACTACCTTTAAACTTTGGCAATTGAGATTTTCACCCTGGATATTTTGGTTACTAAGGTAGCAATGTATAATAAATACAGTAGTAGAAAATAAACTCTCCAGAAAATAGTAAGTAGAGGCTTTCCACACGTGGTAGACATTTAATTAATGGTTCACACCTACTTAAACAATGTAAAGTTCAAATCAGGTCCAACTCATTTTACGTGTCTCCTTACTTTGTTTTCTTAAAGTGCCATTTCAATAATGAATGATATCAGCAATATTCTAAGAAATATCAGATCAAGAACCCAATCAATCAGCAGAATATAAATCTCATCAATTTAAAAAACTGATGAGAAAAATTCTTTCATGAAATGTAATACATACTTTTTAAACAATTTTAATTTCTTATAAAATAAGATGATTTCCAGACTTAAAAGGAAAAACTAAACCAGGAAGTAAATGGGCTCACCAAAAATCTCATCTCTCAAATGATTTTTTTCCTAATATCTGAACAATAACAAAACTAAAACAAATCATAAACAGGATTTGGATGGCTATTTTTAAACACTTGAGAAATAAATACATTTAAAAAATAGATTGTGTTTTGAAGTTAACAGCAATTTTCAAATAAGCAGAAGAAAGTGGGGAGGGGAAAAGTAGAAAAAAATTGCAATGACTCCTGATGAATGCCAAATTCTTAAACTGTTTGGAAAAAAATAAAAACCTAAGTGTGAAACAATCAAATTATGAATGGAAAATTCATATTAGATTATCAGATTTACTATTATGAAAGCCTTTTAAAATTTTCTCACTGATGCTAAATACTTCTAGAGTGATACACTTCAAATATAACATAAAAATCTATAAAGCTGGAATGACTCCATCAATATCAATTTCACAATTTGAAAATTTGACTCATTAAGTAATAAGGAGTCCTTCTAACCTGAAATTCAGTCTATACTATGGCTTTATAAAACTATAAACCCCAATCAGAATGACAATTCTCAAGAATACAAGCAACAATAACTGTTAGTGAGGATGTAGGGGAAAAGGTACACTCATACATTGCTGGTGGGATTGCAAATTAGTACAATCATTATGGAAAACAGTATGGAGATTCCTCAGAAAACTTGGGAATGAAACCATCATTTGACCCAGCTATCCCACTCCTCAGTTTATACCCAAAGGACTTAAAATCAGCATACTACAGTGATGTGGCCACATCAATGTTTACAGAAGCTCAATTCACAAAAGCTAAAACTATGGAACTAGGTGCTCTTCAACAAATGAATGGATAAAGAAAATGTGGTACATATACACAATGGAATATTACTCAGCCTTAAAGAAGAATGAAATTATGGCATTTGCAAGTAAACAGATGGAGCTGGAGAATATCAAGCTAAGCAAAATAAGCCAAATCCCAAAAACCAAAGATAGGAACTTTGTATTGTGCAGACAGGAGTTAGGGGAAGGGAGGAGATATAGGGATGGAAAGGATAGTGGAATGAGACGGACATTATTATCCTATATACACGTATAATTATACTACTGGTGTGACTCTGCATTGTGTTCAGACAGAGGAAGGAGAAGTTGAACTTTATTTATGTACAATATGTCAGAATGCATTCTACAGTCATGTATAATTAACTAGAACAAATTTTTTAAAAAGGAAAGAAAAAACACTGTAAACTTCTATATATTTTTTTCATTTAGGGAACTAAAACAGCTATTCCTCATTATTCATAGATTCCATATTTATGAATTTGTCAACTCGTTCAGGATTTATTTGTAACCTCCAAAATAAATACTTGCAGAGATTTTCTGAACAGCAAAAATATGTACAGATCAGTAAAAAATTGAATTGTGTCATATGTATATGCCCAAATGAGGTTGAAGAAGACCTGCCTTCTTGTTTCAGCTCTCAGACTGTAAACAAGGGTCCTTTTTGTGGGTCTACTTAGTGCTACACTTTTCACATTTTTGACCATGTTGGCAATCTAGTTGTTTAAAATGGTTCCCAAACATAATGATGAAGTACTGACTAGGATTCTATTTTTTTTTAAGTTGAGATGAACACAATACCTTTATTTTATTTATTTCTTTTTATGTGGTGAAGACAGAACCCAGTGCCTCACACATGCTAAGCAACTGCTTTACCACTGAACTACAACCACAGTCTCTGCTTAATATTCTTAAGCACAGGAAGGCTCTGATGTACCTTACAGAGAAAATACATAAGCTTAGTTTAGGCATGAGTTATAGTACTGCTGATTATGAGCATGTGTCTGTCTGTTTGTCTGTCTGTCTGAAGTAAGATGCCTTTAAACAGAAATACACATAAAACATGGTTGTATATTGCTCAATTGATGAAAATTTCATGACTACATACCAGAAAGAACCTCTCCTTGTATTTCCTCTAAGAGCAATACATGCTAATTCAGTATTTGTTTTGCCTTTATAGACTAGAACTGTACGTAACAACAAGTCAGCTAGACTACGTAACCCAAAAGTCAAATGAGTTTTAGAACTTTGAAACATTTCTTGTACAAGTTTTTCAAAAGAAAATATTCAAAACTTTGATCAAAATTATTAACTGAGTTGAAAAAACTAAATTTTTTTCCTAAAGTCTGTGACGGTAAAAAGTAGTGTCTTTAATATAGTGATTTTCCTTACATTGATAGCTAATGCACATAACTGATATTGTTCTAATGTGATGATTTCATGGTAGCATGGTTCTTGTGCCAGCTTCACAATAGCACTTCCAGCAGCAAGTCTCAGACGTGACATATCTGGTTTACTGAAAAACAAGCAAAAAGAATACAGATAAGGTTTCTAAATGTTTATATAAAACCATTTTATATATCTAATTTTGTAGATATTTTTCAGGCCAAAAAAAAAAAAAAAAGGTAGAACTATGCTATGGTCTCAATGTTTTTGTGTCTCCTTAAATTCACATATTGAAATCCTACTGCCAAGATGATAGTATTAAGAGGTGGGATCTTCTGAGAGGTGAGTAGCCTTCATGAATGGGACTCATGCCCCTACAGAAGAGGCCTGAAGGAGACTGTATGACCTTTCTGCCATGGGAGAATACAAGAAAAAAGCTAGTCTGCAATGTGAGATAGTTCAGTTCTAAAAAGAATTCAACCACATTGGCATTCTGATCTTGGACTTCCAGTTTCCACAACTGTGAAAAATAAATCTATTGTTTGTAAGCTACTCAATCTATGATATTTTGTTACAAAAACCTGAACACACTAACACAGTAAATAATTTAGTGATCCTGAGTACCATAATACATTAACTCTGAAAGATGGTAACCAATAAAATAGTACATAAATTCTTCTCTTAAACTTAAGTCTGTGCTAGCACCACTAGTTATTTAATTCTCTCATCCTACACAAAATAGCTCTTAAGCAAGCCTAGAAGAAATCTATTTGTATGTTCACTTATTAGGTTTTAAGTATTATACAATAGATTTATTTTACAAACATATTTACCTATATATTAGGCATAAAAAGATCCTAACTTACCAAGAAGTCAACCACAACCACTGTGCTAAGAATAAAAGTAATAGGAGGTATAGTAGATAAAACCTTACTATTCTTACTCTTCTAAGATAAAATGATCTAGTTGGTTTAAAACTCTTCATTTATGTAACAATTATGTAAAAATACTGACTGCATGCCAACATTAATAAGGTTATGAGGTTGTAAAACATGCCCCAAAAGAGCTATCAGTGTATCAGTGGTAATGTTCCAAGTAGCTATTAATAGATAAATCATAGTACTTAGTTCAGAGAGTGCAAGCTGGCAGTTGGACGCTGTGTCTTCATGTATAGATAACAGATGCTTCTTACATATTGTCCTTAAAATTTTCCATCTAGACTAGTGGTTTCTATTTAATCCAGTAAGCTGTTTTATTTTGCTTTGTTTTCTTTTTTTTTTTCCAGCTTTATTAAGTAGAAGACACTTTTCCTTCAAGTAAAATCTTACATAGGAATTTAAAATGTAAACATAAAAAAACATGCTTCCTATTAAAGTAGGGGACAGAAACGCCCCTCCAAACTCGGAGTCTCCATCTGCTTTGCTTCTACAAGGAATTTTCTTACTCCTACTCCATGCAGCCCCTGAATGTTCCTGAATGTCACATGGGTTCCCTTGAACACAGCTTATATAACACTGTGTACTGGGTCTCATTCCAATTACTTTATATAATATATATATATTCTCCCTTATATAAACTCTATAAAGAAGTACTATCGTTAACCCTCATCCTGCAGGTGAGAAATTTGAGAAGTGAAATAACTTGCTAATAAATAAAATCAGAAAACAAATGGTAGAACCTGAATTTGAAACCATTTAATCTGTCAATGTTCTTAACCATTAGGGTATAATGTCCCTCTAATTAGTCAACATAGCTGAGTATAACTAGGAAAATAAGTTTAAAATAATAAACTAGGAGACAAAATGTATTAATACTGGGGGATTTTTTTTCTCTACAAGGAGGAACTGATCACTACAAAATTATCTTGAATTTTGTATACCTTTTAATCAAAACATGATTATTTGTAAATCCTAAACACTGATACATATAAATTATGGGAGTAGAGGGGTAAAGACAACTAATTAGATTTAGGAAGGTAGACTGATGAGTTGTATATACAGAATGAACAGATCATCAAAATTTTATTTTTGTTTCATTTTAGAAATGTGTGTGCTATTAACAGATTGTTCCAAGAGAACAATATGAACAAAACATGAAGAAAAGAATGAAGATGGAAAGGGTTAGAAAGCAGCTGGAAGTCACTTCTGCTTTCTCATTAAAATCACCAGATTTATTAAAGGGGGATTATTCTCCTATTTTACATTACCAAGAAGGTAACTAAACAACCTATGTACTTATATTAAGAACAAACCTCTAAATTATTGCTAATGCTGACATAGTAACTACCTTCAAATCATCATCAACACTTCTAATTACTACATGGTAGGCAGTCTTTCAAAACCTTTGATATACTAATTTAATTATATCTTAATAGCTAGACAGGACAAATATAACCATAGAGATCTATTTTATAGTTAAAGAAATCGGGGTGCTGAGAGGTTAAAGAAACTTGATAAAGGTCACCTAAGTAGGAAGTGGTGGAGCCAGGATTTGAATCTGAGCTCTGGAGTCCATGTGTTCAATTACTATAGAGTTGTCTCTTGGCAACCTGGGAGAATGGTTCCAGAAACCCCCTCAGGTAACCACAATCCAAAGATGCTCAAGTACCTTATATGAAATAACACAGTGTTTGCATATGACCTACACATAGCCTCCCACATAATTTATAAATTATCTCTAGATTACTTATAATAGCTAATACACTGTAAATAATTGTTACATTGTATTGTTTAGGGAATAAACAGATTCAATAAAGTACCTTCCACAAAATCTCTTCCTTTCCCTTTAGAAACTAACAAGACTGTAAAACATGAGTTGCTTTGTACACTAACACCAATTGTATATGCCAAAAAATCAAGAATCTATTGTTTAAAATACTCTTAATGTATAGCAGTAGCCTATAATAGACATGAATGTAGTTGTGAAATAACCACCATACAAAAGCATTATAATAAAAATATATGCACACCATACAGTAATACTGATTATTTTTTTAAAATATAATATTTAACAATTACATCAAGAGTTCAAATACTGTGTAATCCAAAGAAATCTGAAATAATTGCATACCTAATTTTTCCCTGCTCTGTCAAGTCTCCATCACTGTGCAATATTGTTGTTAGCAATCTTAAGGTGGAAGTTCCTGATTTACTGTGATTATTTTTCATTCCAAGTAGCCATCGAACCATCATTTTAATAGCCTGAATCTATTTAAAAGACAAATTGACAAAACATTGCTACATTTAAAAGAATTTCCACATCTACCTTCTTAAAAAAAAAAAAATCAAGATTTTTTTTTTATTGGACACTTTATAAGAAAAGTAAAAAGAAAAATACACTTTTTCTATACATATGAATATAACTTGGAATGTTTTAAATTAAATCTGTTTCACTCTCTAAGGAAGTAGTTAAAAAAAGATTTCACTAAAGCTCTTTTATTGTTGTTTTTTATGATTCTCCAACATGCAACTCACCTTTTAGATTCTAGAATTAAAATTATCCTTACTTTGCCTAAGAAAAAGTTAAGTTCCCAACTACAACTGTATTCATTCTTTTCTTCCAAAGAGATATCACATGTGTACTAAAAATAACTAAGAAGTCCATATGTATTTCTTCTACACCAGTTACAGCTTTAAATGTTTGCAACAACCCTTTTTAAAGCGGTACATCTTAACTTTTTTTAAAAATTGACACACACGGAACTGGGGTTGTGGTTCAGTGGTAGAGCACTCACTTAGCAAGGGCGAGGCCCTGGGTTCTATCCTCAGCACCATATAAAAATAAATACATTAAAAATTAAAGATGTTGTAACCAACTACAACTAAAAAATAAATATTTTTTAAAAATGACACACATATCATCTCTTCTTCATATATTTCAGCTTTTTACACAACAAAGAACCAGAAACTAAGTGGGTATTGAACAATGTCTGCCACACGGCAAATGCTAAGATGATTCCTGTGTGTGGCAAGCATAAACTAAGTGCATGCTTTCTTTACCAGTGCTACTCTCAGCTACATAAAACTGATGATTAAGATCAATGCTAAGAAAATGGGCTTATACTAACAAACATTCAAAGATGCTAAAGGAAGTGTTGTTCCATGTCTGCAGAAATACATCAGAATCAGAAGCTGGAATAATGTAAAAAAGTAGTTCATACATGATACATAAACAAATATGTACTCATAGCCCAGAAGGTATTATAAAAAATCACAACTAGGACTGGTATTGTGGCTTAGTAGTAGAGCACTTGCCTAGCATGTGTGAGACAATGGGTTTGATTCTCAGCACCACATATAAATATATGAATAAAAAAAAAGGTTCATAATATCTTTAAAAAAATTTTTAAGTGTAACTAGAAAAATAACAAAATTTAATATATTTGTTGTTAACCTTCATTCTTTTCTTTCAAAGAGATGTCACATGCATACTATAACTAGGAAGTCCATATGTATTTCTTTTACATATGGCAATAGATTGAAATGAAGTTTACACTATTGATGGTTTTTATAAATCAATACTCTTTATACCAGTAATGAGTGATCTTTTATGTATAACCTTAACTCCAGGAATTATAGGCTACATTTAAAAAAAAATAAAAATAGCTTTATTAAGTAAATCTCATGGAAAAGATAAACAGTCCTAAAACTCGGATAACAATTTTACTCAATAGAATGTTCATTAGAAAATCTTCATTACCTTTTGCCACTAAAAGGCTGATTCTAAGAAACAGAAATATGGAAGCTGCTTTCAAACCTTATTATATATTTTTCAAACCTCAAATTACACTATATGCTTGCTGCCTGTAAGCCCCATTTTGCTAATAACTGCCAAATACTCATAGTACATAAGATAATGCCAAACAATAAAAATAAATACTTAAGTGATTTTCATAGCCCAAACTTACAGAAATTTCAACATCTTCAATAATATTACAGCATATTAAAATCAACATATCTATGCATATTACTTACTTTAACCATTGTCTCAGGAGAAACTTCTTCATCTGGAACCCAAAGTTTAGTTGTCTTTTTTCCTGGAAGCTAAGTCAAATGTAAGAAATTAAAAACATGAATATGAATTTTCATTTCAATTAATACTAAAGTGAATAAATAAATGATATATTTACCTTCTACAACGATAGTCATACATATGATTAAAACAACTCATCTCTTTAACCTTTCAAAAAGACTGAAAGGCATATCCTCACTAGCACCTAGGTACAGCACTTACATATCATCATCACTAGTTGGTTCTTTGTAGGTTATGTGCCAGAACTGACTTTAAACAACTGCACATACTCCCTTACTTAGTGGCTAACAATTCAATTACTTAAGGCAACTGAAAAAGACAAGGATAAAAATCAATGGGACCAAGAATGTAGTTTTAAATAAGAAGAATGATATTTTTTAAAATCCTGAGCAAGAGAAAAATCAGACAAGTTTCTAGTTCAATACAGGTCATAGAAACACGCATTAATACCTTCTTACCTAAGTGGCAAAGCATATACGTATACAAACTGAACAATTGACAGAGGTGGAAGGGGGGGGGCAAAAAAGGCCAGAGTCACTGGAAAACACAAAAGTGTACAGTGGAAAATATATATATATAACTGTTGGAAGACTTGCAGTTCCATAAAGGTAGAGAAAACACATTCCAAAAGTTAGTTGTTGTTTTTTTCCCCCAGCACAATAATAAAAATACCGTGCAGATATTGGTAGATGTGAATATATGATAGCAACCAGGAAATTAAAGTGGCAAAAGAGCCATTTGAAACAGTTGGAACTGCTGAGATCCCATTTTACTTACAGATCAGGATATAGGAATTGAGAATCACCTCAGGGAAACTCTGGCAACACTTCCTGTAACTCTGGATGTGGAATGTCCCCCCAGAGGCTCATGAATTGAAGGCTTGATCCCAGCTAGTGATGCTATTCGAAAGTAATGGAAACCTTAGAAGTGGAACTTAGATGGAAGATGTAGGTCACTGGGGCATGTCCATGAAGGGCATATCTCACCCCTGATCCCGTTACCACTAAAGTGAGCAGTTCTGCTCCAGTATACCCTCCCTGTAATGATGTCCTTTCTTAACACCAAACCAGAAAAAAATGATCCCAAGTGACCATGAACATTAACCTCTGAAACCATGAGCAAAAATAAATCTTTCCTTTTTAAAGTTGTTTATCTCAGGTATTTTGTCATTGCAACAGAAAGCTAACACAAATCCCAGTATCTAGAAAGGCAAACTCCCACAACACAGGGCAGAAGACTCACTCACAACTTAAGACTCACTTCTTCAGCTGAGAAGTGCCTTCCCGGTATAAAGTAAAAATAATGAGAAAGGAATCACATTAGGCAAAACCTAATGACGTTTCTGAACTAGGAATATAAAGATCCCAAAAGCTTCCATGGCAGAAGCTATCAAAAAAGGAGCAAGAAACAAATCAACTTCAGATTTCTCTGCTACAAAACAGATGCCCTAAACAATGTTCTGAATTTCCTGCGGTCAAGTAATTTAAAACACAGAATTCTAAAGAATCAAAGGTAAATTCAAGCCAGAAAGTTTCTAAGTTACATTTTGAAAAAAATTAGTCAAAGTTATGCTATGATAAAATATTCAATTCACAAGAAAAAAATCCAATCAGGCTAAATTACAAGTTAAAAAAAATTAATGTTATCAATAAGACCAAGAGAGACTGTCTGGTGAATTTAAACTAAAATGAAACTACAAAAAAAAAATCATCAGCATACAAAATCTAAAAATTATTGCATGAAAAAAATACACTAGTGAAGCTGAAAAACATTAAACAGGATACAGATTTAAATGGGATACTCACACAAACAAGAAGATATTGATGTACCTTATATTTATACACCAATAAGATACAGCATTAATGTACATATGTACAACTAGCCAAATATATAAAACAAAGAAGATTTTAATTTGAGAAAAAGGTAGAAATGTCAAATCAGAAGAATGTAGAAATAATACAAGATTTAGAAAATAAAAACTTTCATTCTTCATAAATGACAATTAAAAAGTAAATAGAAAAGAAAATTTAGTAATAAAAATGGTATAAAATCAAAACCACAAAATTCCCATCAACCACAAATATAAAGTATAATTTTAGAATATTATAGTACTTAGCATAAGTTGTATGACAGAACATAGTATCAGAGAAATTTTTAAATTTCCTTTATAGAGAAAACTATAGAGCTTCAATGAAAAATATCTGTCGATGAACAAACAAAGCAAGAGAAAAGAACAAAAGTTATACACATACACAGAGTTTTAGCACTGAAGAAAACCAGAAAAAGGTAAGATTATTCAATAAAAACTGTGGTGGAGGAACTGGGGCTGTGGTTCAGAGGTATAGCACTTGACTGACATGCGTGAGGCATTGGGTTCAATCCTCAGCACCACATTAAATAAATAAATAAATAAATAAATAAATAAATAAATAAATAAATAAATAAATAAGGATAGATATTGGGTCTATCTACAACTAAAAAATATATTTAAAAAAAAACACCTTAAAACTTTTCAAAGAACATATGAGGGACTATGACATTGGGGAGAAAAGGATTTTTAAACTGGAAGTAAAAAGCATCAATGACAAAAGAAAGGAATGATAAAATACAGCTACAGTAGTAACTTTTGCTCAAAGGATATCATAAAGAGAATGAAAAGATACACAGTAAAATGGTTTTATGCATTTTATGAAGACACAACAACATACACTTGATAAAGGATTAATGTATATAAAGACTACCTATGGGAAAAAGATAAGCAATCCAGAAAAAAGCACAGAGGTAGGGTGGGGGAGTTGAAAGGAATTTCAGAAATTTCAGAACGGAGGCACTATGAATGATAACTATAGACACATAAGAACCGGGGAAATACAAATTAAGACTATAATGAGACACTAACATCTATTAGGTGGGCAAAATTTAAAAATCTGATGAGTGCTAGACACTGCTGTAGGAAAATAAGTGTCAACAACCACTGTGGAAAGTAGTTTGACAGGGCTGGGGATATAGCTCAGTTGGTAGAGTGCTTGCCTTGCGAGTACAAGGCCCTGGATTTAATCCCCAGCACTACCAAAAAAAAAAAAAAAAAAAGAAAGGTAATTTATAATAAACTGAAAAGTTAAATATATATATACACACTGTAGTTCATCAATTTCGAAGTAGAGAAAGTCTCGCTCATGTGTATTAGGAGGCCTCTATAACAGCATTCATACATACAGTACCACTCAATAGAGGAAGGAAATGAAAACATTCCAAATTTGCTAGGAGAATAATAGACAATGAGATTTTTCCCACAACAAAATAATGTAGAGTGTAATGAATGAATTAACCACAGCATATTTAGTAACAGGATTATTATTAGAAAAAACTGAAGTGATTAAAAGCAAGAAACTCAAGGCTACGTATGATATGATTCTTAAAAATCTCTAGAAAAAGTAAAAATTTTAAAAGTATATTGTTTAAAAGAGATACTTGTGGCAAGAATGAATGAATGAATGAATAGCAACCCCCCAAATCCAGATGAGTAGGTACTAGGGACAGGAAGGAAATAGAAAGAATTGGAGAGTAATAAAACCAGGACCTAATAGTACATGGGTGGTCACTGCATTAAAATATTAGCTATACAAATGTCACATATATTCCTTTGTACATACTCAATGTAAGATAAGACAAATTAATGGGTAAAAGTGGTAAGATGTTCTATTTTTGATAAGAGCTAACTCAGTTATTTTGAACCAATTTTCCCACTGAATCAAATAGAAAGTCTAGACAAATTATTTTTTAAAAATCACCTTGAAGACAATAAATAGCTACCAAAGCAGTGAGACTTTGCAGAGAAAAGTTTCAAAAGAAGAGGGAAATCGAAAGAGTTGTGCCTGGCATTAAGAGCAGTCTTCTCACCCATACGACTACTAGTTTTCAAAGTTTAAAAGAAGTGGCTGAGAATGTAAACAAAGTTTTTATCATTGTCACAGTGCTGGAGGATAAAATTTGAAATTTTGGGCCCAATGCCTTATTGAATACCTAGACTTTGAGTTGGATAACAAACAAATCGACTCCACACGTAAAGGTGACTAGAAAAAGAAATCAGCCTATCAAAAACTGAAGACTAGGGACTGGGGTGGGGTTGTGGCTCAGAGGTACCACGCTTGCCTAGTATGCGTGAGGCACTGGGTTTGACTCTCAGCACCACATACAAATAAATAAAATAAAGGTCCATCAATAACTAAAAAATATTAAAATAAAAAACTGAAGACCAGCTTCCAAATGGATGAAGGTGATCTGACTGTCAAAAGCAAACCCTCAATGGAAGAATATAAACTCATACAGAGCCTCAAACTATCTCTAAATTTTTTATTTTAAAAAAAACCTATCACTAATAAAAAATAACACATATACAACATAAGACCTAACCACAAATTGAGAGAAAAAAATCAACAAGGGTGGGGGGAGTCACATAAGATCCATTAAATGAGTCTAAGAGTATGAATTGCAACATAATTTAAAATGTTCAAGGATTAAATGACAAAAGAATTCTAGAAGGGAACAAAACTATGTCTAAAAATAGGGAAATTGTAGAATTGAAATAAAATAATTAAGAACTCAATGCAGTGCCATATGCCTGTAACCCCAGCGGCTTGGGAGGCTGAGGCAGGAGGACTGAGTTCAAAGCCAGCCTCAGCAAAAATGAAGCACTAAGCAACTCAGTGAGATCCTGACTCTCAACAAAATACAAAATAGGGATTGGGATGTGGCTCAGTGATTGAGTGCCTGAGTTCAATCCCCACTACCAAAAACTAAACAACAAAAACACCTCAATGCATGAGTTTATCACAAGATTAAACAAAATTGAGGAATTCGTAAACTCAAAGACAGGTCAGAAAAAAGCAAAAACCGAAGCATGAAGAGGCTAGAAGAAAAGTGTGGAAAAAGTATGTCCAGACAACTGGTTCACAGAAAACAAACAAAAGAATGTGCCTAGAGTACTAAGAAACGAGCAAAAAGAAGATCA